AAGGTAAGCAATAAAGCTTTTCAGAAAAAAAACACGGAATAATGTTTTTGTGACCTGGGGCAAGTTGCCAGCCATAAATGAAAACATTTGATTAATCATACTACAGTAAAACTAGGGTTTTTGTTCATTAAAAGTCATCATTAAGAGAGTTAAAAGACAAGATGGAGTGGGGAAAATATTACCAAGATATTCAACTACAGCAGAAAATCTCCTCTGAATTGTATCCAGAATATATGAAGAACTTTTACAAATCAGTAAGAAATAAGTAGACAACCCAATAGAAAAATGGGCAAAAGACATGAATAGGCACTTCACAAAATAGGATATACAATAACCAATAAAGAAGCAAAAAGGTGCTTGGCGTATTATCAAGGAAACACAAGTTAAAATCACAATGTGGTATTACTGACATGCACCAAAATGGCTAAAATGAAAAAGGCAAACAACATCAAGTTTTGGTATGATTTTGAATGACTAGGACTCTCATATACTTTAATGGGAGTGTAAATGAATATAGCCACTTTGGAAAATTGTTTGACAATACCTTCCAAACCTAAACATATGCCTATCATATAATCTAATAATTCTGCTCACAGGTATACACAGCAGATACACATGCACAGGTCTGCCAAAGACACATACAAAAATGATCACAGCAACATTTTTGGTTGTAGTTCCAAACTAGAAACAACCCAAATGTCCATCAGGATAGACACTTGTATAATGGATAAACACTTGTATAATGAAATACTACACAGCAATGAACATGAATAACCACACAACTTGGATGAATTCTTTCAAACATAGTGTTGAGTAAAAGAGGCATAAATAATTACATTACTGCATGATTCCATCTATATAAAGTTTAAAACCAGGCCAAAATAATCTAGGTGCTAGAAATCAAGAAAATGGTTACCTATTTGGTTGTGGGGTAGGTTATGGTTAGTAGGAAGAATGAAAGGCTTTGGGGGTGCTGGTATTGCTTTATTTCTCGATCTGGGGGCTTATTGCCCACATTTACTTTGTCAGCCCATTTATTACATACTTAAGTATAATCACCTATAAGCAATGAGAACATAATGCGTAGCAGATGGCTATGCATTATACAGTATATCATATATCTGTTATCATTTGTAATACAGGGTCTTTTTCACTCAACCCAGTAGCACATTATTTGCGCTCTTATTTTGGGCTTCCTTTGTTCTGCTTTATGGAACAATTGGCCATGCAACTGTCTTCATCTCCCGACAAAGTTGTAGTCTTCTTGAGTGTAAAAACTATGGTTGCATTTTCTCTAACATATTATTTCTGTTCTTAGCACAAAGCCTTACACATAATGGGATTGAGTCTCAATGTTGGTTTTACATTGGAGAAGGGAGAGTGTTTACAAATTTTTACTGATCTACTTTTATTCATGTATTTTAATTAAAAATAAATAGTTGGTTTGAATTCTCATCTCTCATCCTTCTTCAAAAATATATACTTCTAGAGAGGAAGCATGAGGGGGGCTTTGAGGGGATGCTGGTCACATCCTATTTCTTGATCTGGGCAGTACTTAACACAAGCTATACAAGTGTGCTCACTTTGCTATAATTCATCAAGTTGTACACTTACTATTTGATACTTTTGTATGTTGTATCTTAATTAAAATGTAACATATAATATATATGTATGTATATATTTCTAGTTTGGTAAGACACTATGCTGGTGAGAGTTCATGGAATTAGGTGCATGTACTGCTTATTGGGGAGTAAATTAGTACAACCTCCTTGGGAGGAAATTTGGCCAAATTATCAAAATTGAAAAGGCATTTACTCTTTGACCAAGCAATGGTTAGTGTAGAAATGACCCCTATAGTCTATTATAACATGTGCAACCTATTACATATTCAGTGTCCTTCATGTCATGCTGTTTATAATAACTAGAAACAACAGGAGAAAAAACAAATAAACTACACATCACACAATTGAATATTATTCAGCAGTTAGTAAGAAGGAGGCAGATCTGTATCTGGTGATTTGAAAGGATCATCAGGTTAACAAGTGCATAGAAGGTGCTCTTCGTTGTGTGAACTATATGTGTATATAATTAGCTTGTCCATTGATAGACTGTTTCTACAAGGATATCCAAGAAACTGGATGGTAGAAGGAAGAAAAGCAATTTTTCACTATACACTGCCTGATCCACATTTCAAATTTTACAGGTACATATAACCAATTTAGAAAAGCAAATCAAAAGATGATTCTTGGCTGCTGTCTCTTTGTCATTCCCATTTAGAGTCTTAATAAACATTCTATAATTGATAAGTTTGCCTTTCCTTTCTTCTAACAGCCTCCAAATCTATTTCATGCAGCAAAGGTCAGATTCCTCTTCCATGATAATGAGCAAAGTAGGCAGGTCACTCTTCTGTGGGCGACCTTATTAATTGAGTTTAGACCTCCAGTGAATTTGAACAGATTTTTTTTTTTAATGAAACATTCAAAGCCTCTTGGTCCCTCTTTTGTTCCCCTCCTCTCAGAAAGCCAGAAGTGAGTGAAAGACATGTGTTCTATTTGTCTTTAGTCAGATTTACCAATGCCATAGTTGGTTGTCAAACTGGAAGGAGAGGGGAACTTGGAGGATGTGATTTGAACTGCAAAGGATGGGAATAAGTTATATGTAACACGTGCCCTACATTTGAAACAGATTTTGTGAAATAAGGTATTATCCCAATGTCCTGATGATCCGAAGTGTTTGTAGGCCCTCAGAGGTAAAATACAACAACATAATCTAATGCCCCCAAGGAAGAAACATGAGGGGCCTCTGAAGAAACTGAGCCTGTTTCTCAAATCACTTATGATCATTTGCAAAGAACAGAAGGGAGGCCAACTGCCAGGGATGCCGAGGTGGTGTGGCACATGTGGAGGACATGAGCAAGAACACTGAAGCCCAGGCTTGCAACATTTACAATGGACAATTTGCACGGGTCTTTTAAAAGGCACATTCAGAGTAAATGTAGCTTAGATGAGATGGTGCTGTTTTATCAGCTAATAAAGAGAAAGCAAAACCTGGAATTTACTGATTGTTTCATCCAGCCCCTTCATTTTTACCATGGCACACTATACGCAGAGCCTAGGATTAAACACCCACATCTCCTGATCCTCTTGGTCCACTGGTAGTTTTTTTTTTTTTTTTTTTTTTTTTGAGATGGAGTGTCACAGTGTCAACCAGGCTGAAGTGCAGTGGCGCGATCTTGGCTGGCAGCAACCTCTGCCTCCCGGGTTCAAGCGATTCTCCTGCCTCAGCCTCCGAAGTAGCTGGGATTACAGGTGCCTGTTGCCATGCCCGGCTAACACTGCTGTGTTTTTTTCCCCCTTGTCCACTCAAAAGCCTGAAGGCTGGAATCAGACCCCTTGGATTCAAGTGCCTTTCTGCCTCTTGGGAACAGCATGACTTTGGGCAAGTTTCTTAACCTTTCCATGCTTCCACTTCCTCACCTGTAAAAGGCGAGAATAGTAATAACAGTATCTTTCTGTTATGGTTGTTATTGGGATTAAAATGCACTTCAAAGAGGTTCTGGTACATAGAAGGCATTAAATAAATGGTAGCCATAATATCAACGATTAATATTACTTCTAGTTTCTGTATCACAGAGAATCATTTTTAAGTAGGAAAGCCTGCATGGGAGATATCTGCACTGCAACACTTGTTTGATTCTGGGAGCCACCTTAAGTCTGAGATAAGAAATCACTTTTGCATAAAGAAGGGACTCTGGCGCTGGAGGAGCTCTCTAACACAGACGGAGTTCAAAGGGAGGTGGCATGACCCGCCACTGATGCTGAAAGCAGACTGTGTGGAGTGGAGGCAGGTCCTAGATGACCTTCAGGGGTCCTGGTAGTCCTAAAGCGTCTGTGATTTTTGGGACCTTTGAGACTAGCAGCCCTGGGGGCAATCACTTTGCCTAGCTTAGCAGCCGGCTTCATGGTCACCTTGGAAGTGAAGAGCATAGGTCTGTCTGAACTTTGCTCCAGTTCTGTGTAAGAGGACAAGCTCCGGTGTCACAGCTAAGACTTCCAAATACTGAGGTTGGAGGGGACTTTGAATTTATTTATGAACAGACAGTTGTACACTTGAAAATGCCAACAGATAAGGGAACATACTGAGCTTCGCTAACTAACAAGATTGAGCTCATTACAAACTCTCCAGCCAGGGGATATTTCATTCTTAAAAAGAGGAGTAGAAATCCTGTGTGTGTGTTTGGGGGGCTGGGGAGGGGAGAAGAATATGTCAGTCAACATCGTTTCCTCCCGCTCTCCCAAACATAGGCTAACTGTGAAGAGCCAGGACGCCCACCGAGTCCTGGCAGCGCTGCTAGGCGGGGCGGGGGTGGGCGCGGTCCTCTCGCTGGTGCCTGCAGACTTCCTCTGCAGGGCATTTCCTAGTGCCTTTGATCTTTCCCCACGAACTGGCCAGGACCGCGTTTGCCTCTAAGTTTATTCCTTCTTGGTTTATTTATTGTATTTGCTTTCTCTTCTTGCTGGTTTGGAGGTCAGAACGCCAGTGTGCAACGGGACGTGAGTCCCAGGGTCTCCCCTCTCCAGGCACTGCCGCGAAATCTGGCAAAAGGTACATTTTACTGAGTCCTGGGGAAGCAAATTCAGAGGAGAAAGAGTCTTTCCCCACTCAGGGAGCCAATCCAGGAAGCCGGATCCTGGCATCAGAGGCTAGGATCCGGCCCCGACCCCCTGCCCCAGCCCCAGCCCCAGCCCTGTAGGCGGGCGCCCCCAGGGGATCCTCTCGGTCCCCCCCCCCCTCCCGGGGGCTAGTGCTCGCGTCCCTCCCCGAGACGCCAGGCTTAACTTGAAGTTTCATCTCCTCCCCAGGAGGGTCTCAAGTTGCCTTCCTCTGCCGGGAAGGGCCCCCACACCCCTGCGCCGGGCCGTAATCCCCACCCGGCGTCCCAGTCTGAGCGGCCCGGCCTCAGCTCTCCATCTGCGCGCCTTAAATCCCATTTATCTTCTTAGCGCCTCAGACCCGGCCGGCCCCGCCCCTCTTCCTCTCACCCCCACCCCACTTGCAAATCACAGACCCCCTTCTACCCCCCCCGCATCCCCCAAGTGCGCAGGATCAACGATAGCAACCTTCGAGGTGTTAGAAAAAGTCGCCAGGCTGGGTAAAAGCGACCTAGAGGGGCGCGGCCGGAGGAGGGCCCGGCCGGGGTGGGGAGCGCCCCAAGATTTCAGGGTGAGGACCGCGGAGGGTCCTGAACCCGCAGTCGCCTAACTCCTGCCCTGCGTCTCCAGTGCTTGAAGTCGGTCCCTCCCAGGTCCCCAATCTAGGTCAGCAGCGCGGAAGGGCTGAGCTGGGGGTCGCTAGAGAGGGTGAGGGGCGGGCTGTCTGCTTCCGAGGTGGGCGAGGAGTGAGGATTTCAGGGCCTGCCCCTCTCACTTCCACTCGATTGTAATTTCATCCCACGGCCCGTCGAGCTTCCCTCCCTTCCGCAGCCAGTCAGTCCCTCCCGTCAGCCTCCTTCGTCGCCCCCGCCCCCGCGAAAAGCCCTGCCGCTTGCAGCCGGCTCCACTCCCGCACGCCGACCTCCCGGCTGCAGTCCTGCCTCCTGGAACCCCCTCGCGCCCGGTTCCGGGCCCAGCCCCTGCAGCCGCCCACCTCCTCACTCCGGCCCGGGGATCCGCGGGGATCCGCGTCCCCCACGCCCCCGCCCCGGGAGAAGCCCTTTCCCTGTGCGCCCGGGACTTGGTGAAACTTTGCAGGCGCTGGCGGCGAAATGGATTTAACCCGAGGCGTCTTGCTCCGGCTCCTGCTCCTGGCTTCCAGCCTCCCACCCGGCACGCTGTCGCTCCGAGCCGCTCTCCGAAAACCAGGTAAGGCGCTCCTCCGCCCGGAGCCACCACGCCCCGAGCGCCCCTGCGGGGCTCCGGGGCCAGGACGCCGAGCGGGCCGCGCACCGCCTCCCTCTCCCCAACCGGCTTCACTCGCTTCAGCTCTGCCCGGAGCTGGGAAAAGACGCGAACCTCGCCCTCTCCCGCTCCCGGGCGGCTCTAGGGGTATTTGTTTGTTAAAATAATGATCAGTTTTCCAGACACAGTAGAGGTGGTGGTCCCGTGTTTGATCGCAGAGAGGTGAGATTTGGGACAACGGTCGTGCTGTCTCAATTGCAGAGGATGGCAACAGTGCAGAGGAGTCAAACCAGCCCCTCCTGCGTCTCCAAACGTCTTTCTGAATTCATATCGTCCAGAGCCCAGCCATTTCCTGTTAAGTGTCTGAAGGGTTGCCTGGAGCCCCTCTGCCCAGCTCGGGTCCTGCCCACGCGCTATGCAGGGATGTGGACGCTGCACTTAGCATCCTCTTCTACTCTGGGGCCGTTTGTTCAGAAGGAAGCACCCAGTGGGTTAATTTTACCGTGTTTTGAACTCCTGTCTTTGCTCTGCTATTTAAACAAAGATATGTGCGTTACAGCCTGTTATTGGGGATTGGGGAGAACATGAAACCACAGTAACTTGTATTTCCTCAAGCTGCATATAGGTAAAAAGTCTGTGCATTTTGGTCTACTTTGATTTGGCCTATGTTGTGAGATTATTCAAAGTAGAACATTCTAAACAATGAAGTTCTAAACATTGTTTCCCAAATAATGATTTTTATTCTTTTTCTTTTTTTTGCTGGGGAACATATTTAGAATTCTGAAAAATCTGTTTTTTCTTAGCTTACTTTGTAAGGGAGGCTGTCTTATGGGATTAATTATATCTTATGAACAATGGAAAACAATATAACTTTATGTGAATGCAGTCTACAAAACCTCCCGGAAAGTGCAGTTTGTCTTCACAAACGTTTCTCTAAGAAAGAGGCAAAGCTAGGAAAATTTATCAGACGGCAAAGAAAATCGTCTTAGCGGGATCCCATGTGGATACTTAAATATTTTGGCATTGAAACCATCTGGAAACAGGACTTGTTGCTTTTCGGCTCTGGGAACGCCCTCAGTCTATGAGCCATATCTCTTATTACCAGCACTTGTTAACCTGCCTTGAAATCTAAGGTCATTATCATAATCTACACCATATTTAAATTATGAGCCATTTCGTTTATGAGCTCTTCATTTTGGAGATATTAGCTTCAGTCCAAGGTAATATTAAATTGTTTCTCTTCCTGCCTGCACGCACGCGCGCGCGCACACACACACACACACACACACACAACACACCCCTTCAAGGATTTGAGGACAGGGCTTCTAACTTTCCTCTTTAAGATACACACATCACAGTCAATTGCATTTTGCAGATTTATTCACATGAAATAATCGATTGTCACAATTTTTAAACAAAGCATAGTTATATGTATAGTTTCAAAGCATGAACAGTGTATGCAATGCTTTTTTAAGGATATGTTTTAATCCATTTAAAGGCAATTTTTAAAAAGTATTTTATAAAAGCCTGCTGTATAAAACTGCTCATATGGGTCACCATATTTTCTTTCTTATTTTTTGTTGTTTCTCCCCTAAAAAGATTTTCTACCTGGTTCACTCAGACTCATTCTGATATTCATGCCAGGAATATGCCATGTTGGCCTCTTTGGTTTTATTTGAAGCATAGATAGGGTTTTGATAGTGGAAACACCACCTTTTAAATTACATCAAATTTGAGGTAGGAGAAGTGAATAGACTAGGTTCAACCTAGAAGAGTTTTTTTTTTTTTTTTTTTTTTTTTTTTTTTTTTTTTTTTTTTTTTTTTTTTATTACTTTATAATTTTATCCAGACACTGACTTTCAGGTTGGAAAGCTTCTCAGATTAAAATGACAGCTACTTCATAAACTTCAGGGGAAATTTCCCTCCTGGGCTCATTTACATCCCTTGGAAAGACTGGTTTTTGATCCGGAAAATTGGTCCAGATTAAAAAACTGAATGTGTCCTGCTTGGCTCTGATGTGAGCAGCAACCAGCTAATTTATAATCTTCCCCAGATGCTAGCAAATCCTGCTAGTATCCATATGGGAGTTTCTTTGTACCTTGTTTCCTCAATAGAAATTGGTTCATATATAGTACTTTGAAGGTATCATGGCCACTTTGCAAGCACACTGGAGCGGTTCTGTTTTATTTGGATAACCCTCCCTGTCTCTTCATACCCCTAAATCTACTTTTGATAAGTACAGCTTTGTTGGAGAAGTCTTGGATTCAAAATCAACCTGAAAATTCCCCATTCCCATCTGCCTCTGATGAGAAAAAACTGAGTAGCAGCTTCAAGTTTGAGTCTAGTTTGTGTTCAACACAAGCAACATTTCCCTTCACCCCAAGATAGCTCATCTGTTGACAGTGAACATTAATAAAGAAACCTCTGCATTTGCCAGGACTCACGAGAAATGACAGTTTTCAAATTAAGTTAAATTAAGTCATAATAACTAACACAAAGTGCTTGCCACACTGTTCTAAAATCTGGACGGACTCACAGTGATTTATTTAATCAACCCAACGGCCCCGGGAGATGAGGACTATTACCATCCCTGTTTTACTGAAGGAGAAATCGTGGATTAGAGAGGTTGCATATCTCACCCAAGGTCACACAACTACTAAACGGTGGAATGGAAATTTAAGCTCTGATATTCAGGACCAGAAACTGAGTTCAGAACACCCTGTTTGCAGAGGTAAGTAGCATGTTTTGTAGGGTGTCCTCCTGGAGGCTGAAGAGTGGATGGAGCTCCCGTGGGTCAGATTGGAGGCTAGGTGGAGGCTGCTGTTTTGTGTGGGGACCCTGAGTTGCTCTTAAACATTTCTAAATGGGATATGCCCAAGCCTCCTAAGACAATAGAGTGCATATGACACTGAAAGAGTTTAGAAGCTACTGTCTCCGGGCCTCATTTATAAGAATCATGGGCTGTAGCCTTACGGAGTGATGATGAACCGCTTGCTTCTCTTGTTGAACTCCTGGGGATTAAGGCTTGTGAGGGTCAGAGGGTCCACTTGAGTACCTGAAGGTAGAAAAAGGGGCCTCTGAAGAATGGGAGGGTTTAGGGCCCTTTCCTTTTCCCAGGCCCTCACGGTGTGAAAACACAATGTGTTGGATAGCCTTCGTTCCTTTAGAGACTCCAAATTAGAATCACAGGCCTGGAAGGAAGTGAAAAACCCTCATTTTGCAGCTGGGCATGGCTCTTGCCTGTAATCACAGCAGTTTGGGAGGCTGAGGCGGGTGGATCAGAGGTTGTGAGTTCGAGACTGGCCTGACCAATATGGAAAAACCCTGTCTCTACTAAAAAAATACAGAATTAGCCAGGTCTGGTGGCACATGCCTATAATCCCAGCTACTCGGGAGGCTGAGGCAGGAGAATCACTTGAGCCCAGGAGGTGGAGGTTGTGGTAAGCCAAGATCATGCCATTGCACTCCAGCCTGGGCAAGAAGAGTGAAACTCTGTCTCAAAAAACAAGCAACCCTCATTTTGCAATGAGGCTGAGGGTGACTCAGTGACTTGCCCAGGTTAACATCAGAAGCTGAGCTGGAACTAGCACCCAGACCTCCCACCCTCCTGAGGGACCTCTAGCCTGTGCTTGTCCCATTACCTGAGTCTCACCAGAAAGTGCAGGACTGCCTTGCTTCTGTGGTAGGGCAGGAAGAAGGGAGAGGGAAGTCCAGACAACTGCTGGAACCAGCATGCAACAAGTCACTTCATTCCCACAGACATATTGCTAACTTTTGTCCTTATTATCATCTTAAAGTCAGATTTATTGAGGTACAATTTATATACAATAAAGTTCATCAAGTATACAGTTTGATGAGCCCTAACAAACATATACAGTAATGTAATCACTACTGTAATAGAAATATATAAAACATTTCCATCATCCTAAAATATTCCCTTGTGTCCCTTTGTAGAAAAATGACTCCTTCCCAGCCCCTGGTAACCACTGATCTAACTTCTATCCCTGTAGTTGTGCCTCTTCCAAAATGTCATATTTTGTGTTCACCTTCTATCAACTTAATAATGCTTTTAAGATTCATCCATGTTGGCCGGGTATGGTGGCTTACGCCTGTTATCCCAGCACTTTGGGAGGGCAAGGTGGGTAGATCATAAGGTCAGGAGATTGAGACCATCCTGGCCAACATGGTGAAATCCTGTCTCTACTAAAATACCAAAAACTAACCGGACGTGGTGGTGCGCGCCTGTAGTTCTAGCTACTCGGGAAGCTGAGGCAGGAGAATCGCTTGAACCCAGGAGGCGGAGGTTGCAGTGAGCCAAAATTGCGCCTCTGCATTCCCAAGACTCGGTCAAAAAAAAAAAAAAAAAAAAAAAAGAATCCATCCATGTTGTTGCATATATTGGATGTTTGTTCCTTTCTTATTGTTGAGTAGTGGTGCATTGTATGGACCATGGATTATCAGTTTGTTTAACCGTTTGCTAGTTAATGGACTTTTAAGTTCTTTTCAGTTTTAGGCTATTATGAATAAAGTTTCTAGACATGTGTACATGTAAGTCTTTGGAAGATATGTGTTTCCGTTTTTCTTGGTAAACAGAAGGAGTAAGATCACTGCATCACATGGCAGTTGTGTGTTGAACTTGATAAGAAATCAAACTGTTTTCCAAATAGGCTGTACCATGTTCCATTCCTACCAGCAAGATACGAATGTTCTAGCTGCTCCTATTCCTCTACAACACTTGGTAGACTTGGTTTTTTGGTTTTGTTTTAGCGATTCTATTATAATAAGCATGTAATAATATGTCATCACAGTTTTAATTTGCTTTTCTCTAATGACTAATTATATTGAACATTTAAAAAATGCATTTATTTGCCATCTTTTCTTTGGTGAAATATTTGTTTAAATCTTTGGCTGACTTTTAAAATTTGGAATGTTTGCCAGGCGTGGTGGCCCATGCCTGTAATCCT